GAAAATAGAGTGAGTCATTTAAATAATCGATGTAACGTATATTATTCTCATTTAGATAACCGAATCGATACTCATTATCGAAATTGCACTATAACCTCAGAATACTCTGATAACTTAGCCTGAAAATTCGAAAAAAAAACCCAATTACGGACCTCTATGAAACGTTTTTTCTACAAATATAAAGCTAGTGTAGATGATTGAAATAGTATTTTTTTAGGACAAAGCATTACGGGACAGCTTTAAATATCTAACCTATATCCACTAATACCGTAGGCATTTGAGCAGACTTCGGTTCAACGATGAACACTTTAACCTAAAACGGTGCAAGAGACTCTTACAACCAGATTTCCTTGACTCGCGAGCTCGGTAACTTGCTGGTTTTCAACCTCCAACCTTCACGATAAAAAGAGTACATTAACCAAGTTTTACCTGTTTTTATTCAAAAAATTAGAACCCGTAAAAAGGGACATGAAATACTGTATAACTAAAAAAAATTTTACTAAAATCTAATTACATTGTTTTTCAGCAAAAAGTTTTATATATTTTATATTCGGTAATGTTCATAGTGATAATAAGAAACCATTTACCGAATTTTTCCTTTGAAAAACTTTACGACCCTCATAAGAGGAGTGAGAATGCAGTCAATACACGATTTTTCATACAACATTTAATCTACAAACCCTAAACTCACCAAATCCCAAGTTCTCAACCCTCAAACTATTAACAAATGTCGGTCGTTTGTAGCAGCAATGTTCGTTTCCAGAACCAACCACGAGAAGGTATCGATCACTGAGTCCTCTTTTTATTTTTTTTTGTTTTTTTTTTTAATTTTACTAGTATACTATTTTTAAAGTTTTAAATAATATACTGTTAGTATTACGTACGATTGTTGTGATTTTATTGTTCTTGAAAATACTTGAGTGAAAAGTTACTATTTAAAGTAATCAGTATCTTAGGTTTTTGTATAGGCAGAAATCTTATGCACAGGTATTGTATCATCACGTTTAAGTAATCAACAGTAATCAGCTATCATGACAGAGTCCAATCGTCCTGGATACCTAGATTCAATAGCTAGCAGGTCCTGGTGACTTCTTTCTCCCTGCTCATCACTTATATCAACTAAATTTCCATCCGGAAGAAAATCCAGATAGTCATGTAAAAAATGTAGTTTTTGACTCATACGGCATTCCAGATCTTTAAATTTTTCTAAAATTTAGAAGCTCTTTCTAATTGTTTTCTTTTTTATTTTCGAAGAAACGATTTATGATTTTTTCAAATACAAACCAGGTATTTTTTTCTTTGATAGATATAGTTTTCTTAAAATTGTCACCTTTACTCAGCAATTTAATTTGAGGTCCAATAAAAATTCCTGATTTTATTTTTGCGTCACTAAGTTTTGGAAATTTTTTATGTAAATACTGAAAACATGCACTTGATTGATTGAGCCCTTCTATGATCTGCTTCACTAGACCTAATTTTACATATAGTGAAGGTAAGAGAATTTTTTTTTGGATCGACTAACGCTTCATGAAGGATGTTCATGGATACGGGTATCAGACTCTTCCTACCATGCCAGTTCTTTTATACCTAGTGCTTCTTATTAGCTCTACTATCCCACTCCAGATGAAACATAAGTATTTGGTGTATCTACTTTGTTGGTTAGAAAGAATAGATTTGATTTTAAAATCTCCGTATATCTTCCATTTATGTTTTTTGTAATCTATTTTTTCAAGAAGCAATTTCATGTTTACATAATTCTCATCTAAAAGTGTTGAAAATCCAATAGGAATGTATGCACACAGATTTAAAGAAGCCTATAGAGGGCCTTCAAACTGCGGGTAGAGGAATCTATAAAATGTCTCCACTCGTGTGGATTATAAGTTTTAAGACCTGAGGCAGCCATTAAACATGAAATATCATTGTAAAAAGTTAATGATTCCGCCTCCGTAAAATATTTTAGAAATTTTTTCTCCCGATTTTAGTACCAAGTAAAAGTTATCTCAGAAGAAAGCGCATATTTTTCTTACAGCTGACAGCATCGACTTTTCTTTCGAATTCCCAAAATCTTGATTTAACTCATTCAATTTAGCCTGATTAAATGTACAAGGTTTATCAAACGATGAGCGGAGTTCATTGCTACTATAAACAACTTCAAAATTCATTTTCATCTCTGTTATCTTTGTATTTTTGTTTTCTTTCTTCTTCTTCTTTTTTTTCGTATGATGAATAAGTCTTGTAATAGATTGTACATTTGCATATTAATAATATGATTATTTTTGCTATTGAAGGTACTGATTTGTTTACCACCATGGCATAAACAAAAATAGCAATCAACGTGATTTTTTGGTTCTCGCCATACTGTGGGAGTGCCAAATGGCATACACTTTCTTTTTTCATTTTCCAGTGTGCTAAACCTACTCTGCACAAATCGCAAATATTATGTTATGAACCCAAGTTTTATTTCAATTAGTCAATTCATTATTAAAATATTTTTGTACAATGATTTCATAAAGGTTGTAATGGATTTACGTTTAGTTGGAACGAAATCATCACAAATATAACAAAACTGCTGCGGGTCATTCACACACTGTCGTGAAGACATTGTTTATGAAAATTTAAGCGTTTAACTTAAAATAATATCTAATATACTATTTAATACGAGATGCTAAAAAAATATCTTGATTACTTTTATGTTATCTGAAGATTTTCATTGTATTGATAGGAACAGAGTTAGTATTTTTAGTTCTCAAACTAATTTAATATAAACGATGAAGGTCTGCCGTTCACTTGGTCTCTCCAGTGAAGTAGAGCAAACTCTACTATTTCACTAGGTAAAGGTGACCTAGTGGATAAAAGATGAACTTGTTAGAATAGCGCTTGCCTTGAAGTTACCGAGCTCGTGAGTCAAGGAAATCTGGTTGTAAGAGTCTCTTGCACCGTTTTAGGTTAAATTGTTCATCGTTGAACCGACGTCTGCTTAAATACCTACGGTATCAGTGGATATAGGTTAGGTATTTAAAGGTGTCTAGTAATGCTTTTTCCTATAAAAAATACTATTTCAATCTTCCACAATAGCTTGATATCTGTAGAAAAAACGTCTTCTGGGCATCCGTAATAGGGTTTTTTCAAATTTTTAGACTAGGTTATCAGGGTATTCTGAGGTCATGGTGCAGTTTCGATAATGAGTATCAGGTGATCCAAATGATAATAAAAACCTTTCCTTCAATTTTTAAATGACTCACTCTACTTTTAGGCTTTAATGACGATATCTTGGACAGAAAAAAAGATATTCGAAACTTAAAAAAATGAGTTTTCGAGGGTAAGAGTGCTCCTTTAAGATCGCGTACTCACTTTTCCAAAAAAAAGTTTATTCAAGATGTTATTGTACCTCAAACCAGCAAAAAACAGCATTTTTTGTACTTTTAGTTTAGAATATTTGAAATACATGATATGATAGAGTAATTCTAAAGTCAGATTTGAATTCAGCGATCCTAAAACTACTGGAAATAACTAGTCTCATCTAATGAGCAAGTTTCACATCGGGCTGTGTAATCAGAGAAATATATAGAGAAACGTCATGTGAAGTGATAACGAGGAAAGAATAACAAGAGAGTTTAGAATTTAGAGAAGGTAAAGCAAGGATGTCCACAAAGCCCGACGCTTTTCAACCTACATTTAAAGGATATAGACAAGATGTGGGTATCAAGGAAAGAAGGAGATACAGTCACACTTTGCAAGGATTGAAGTTTGTTGACATTATAGTATTAATAGCGGACAAACAGAAAGGCCTACAGGAGACACAACATAGTATGGAAAGGTATAACAGGAGAAATGGTATGAAGTTAAACGTGAAGAAAAAGACAAAGGTGATGTAATCAGGAAATGGGGAAAGTTAAGGAGAAAAGTAGAATGGACATACGGAGGAGAAAGGCTAGAGATAGTGAAAGAGTATAAGTACGTCGGTTTTTGATTTGCTACGAAGGGGGGCTATGGAGCACATATAAGAATAATGAAACAAAAGGCACAGATAGCAATAAATAATATATGAGGTCTAAATGAAGAGAGCAAGACTGAATGTATTAGACAGAAGACTGCTGGTATTAAATGCAATGGAGAAAGCGGGATGCTTGTTTGAAGTACAGATTTGGGAGAGGTCTATACAAAAGGAACTAGAAAGATTACAGGTAAAGATAGTCAAAATGTCAATGAGAATGAACAAGAATACCCCAGAATATATGCGGAAGATAGAAGTAGGAATGGACTGTTTATACTTAGAGACGATAAAGAGGGCGATGAACTATATAGATGAAATAACGGAGATGGAGGACAGCAGACTCCCAAACATAGGTTTGAAAGAGAAAATAAGATAGGTGAAGAATAATAATCCGTCATAATGGAGGAAAGAATGAACAGAGATGGCTGAAAAAGCCGGGAAGGGAGAGTTGAAGGAGCTTATAAAAAAAAAGAAAAAGATACGTATCTACTATTTTTGACATAGAAGACAGTCAAAAACTTACATCAAAATCAGTTTTCTGCAGGCCTGGCCCTCTTCTTATAAATAATATAAATTCATAACTTATATATATGTGCCAGAAATGCATGGAGGATCTTCAGCTCTTCCTATCATAAACTTATTACAGAAAAGTTTTAAATTCATTAGAATAATACGTTATAAATATTAGCGTCTATAAGTGTTCATGATCCATGTATTGTAAGATTTTCCCCGTATACGAGTATTTCATATAAATAGTACTAATTACTTCCTAAAAAATATGTTTTATAACAGTCTCCATATCTCTTCTACATTCTATTCTTCTATAAATTCTGCCTTATTTGAACAGAGTATTAGGGAATATTTATACTCATATTCTTTTACAAAATTAGTGTTGCATTTCATTTAAATAAGGTATTACATATATCTTTTTCAGATTGTACATTTTATATTATTAATTAATTCTGAAAGCATAGGTATGTTTTCAGTATTTTTGAACATTTTTCAGGCCTTTATTGAAGCAAATAAAAAATTCTGCTGAATCGCACATCATCTTAGATTGTACTACAGAAAAAATTTATACAGTATTGAAGCAAGCTCAAGAAATTGGCATGATGACAGACTATCATAGCTATTTCATAACATCATTGGTATGTATTTAATTCATTAAAAAATTCATTTACTAATTATTTTTCACAATAAGCACAGATATATTTAGAAAATGTTTGTTGATCAGTAAAAATACTATATACTTATTTATATATTTTGTAATGGAGGAATCTACTCTGCTAGCCGATTCCTCATTTAACACTCGCCCGTCGCCTAGGTCCATTGCTATGAAGTCGTAAGTACTGTAACGGAGATTTAGATCGCTATAATATATTAATTAATCCGAGATCAAGTAGTGGCTGGTACTATTGCAGATCTTTGCGGGATTACGTTCTACTACGCAAGACCGGCCCGCTAGGTCAGATCACCAACTGGCCCGCGGAGAGCGTCGTGGGTCACGCAGCTTAAATCGCGAAAATTGAGGGAAGCGATAGGAAGGAAAGGTAGTCCGAAAGAAAAGCCATGCAGTTTTAGTAGTATACAAATATATATATATATAGTTTATGTACGTGTCAGTATACAGAACGGTCCAGAGAGAGCGGCGAGATAGGCTAAGCGAGAGAGAGATTCAAGGAACGGTCGGTACTTACATTGGTCGATGCCTTTCAATTACAATTCCGCCAGATTGCTGAATTCGCCTGTTTGACTAGTTGCCTGTTACGAATGAGAGAAGGTGTCGTATGTACATTTGCACCTCACGAACTAGTCACAATAGAAGGACACTCTCCTGCCACGAGGCGGTTCACAAAGAAAAGCTAAAACAAGTATACGCACGACCAAATGCCTCTGCACGGCTCGCGAGCTATCAGTTAATTGCTGGCCCTTCGTCACGCTGCGCGCGGCTCGTCACACATATCGTTATGCCTACACGCGCACGCGATCTTTTTCTGCCGGCTCTCTCTCTTACCTTCTCCGCAGTCGTCGTCTGGATTATGATGGAGATAAGCCTTAAATAATAATAAATAAATAACATATAGCATTCACAACGATCGAATAGTGAGCTCGCGTAGCCTGTATATAGAAGATTGAGTGGCCAACTCAACAGCGTCCGCGGAGAGCTCTCTTACCTATCTATATCGACAACGCCCTGTAGTGGTTTGTTCGGGAGGGAAGAGGATGCCAGGGTGCACAGTAGTGAATGTAGTTCCGACGTCTCGGACACGGAAGCAGCCCTCACTGCAATGATTTTGCCGACGTGGAGGCAGTGGGATCTGACAACCTCTCAGAGAGACGAAGGCCCTCTGCTAGCGTGGCGGATATTTTGATCGCTAGCCCCTTGTCGCGTCGTCGATTCGCACAGAAACCCAGAGATGGTCTGTGTCTGATTACTAATAGTACGCACACGCGCACTACAATAACCCACGCGCGATACAAATGAAAAATTTATTCAGTCGCCAATCGTTACAGGGCACGAGGAAGACAAAGCTCGGTCTTTCACATCCGGACGTCGCGGATTCTCTCGAGAGCGTTTCGTTAAGGCGAGTTAGTTTTCCAGCAAGGCTTGATGAAAAGAATAGTGATAGGTGGGGGGGGGGGGGTATTTTCCTCCTTTACTTTAGGCCTTCAAAGGATCCGAGTAGCCAATCACGAGAGTGATGCTGTTGTTCGGCTCGCGCAGATCACGAACTGACCGCTGGCTACCTGAGAAGGTCGTTTAGCGTGACCCTTTTTATTTTGCTGATAGCGGTGAAGCACGTATTATGGCGATGGGGTTTCCCCGAGCGAGGTGGCATGCTTGGGTGAGGGATTGGTGAACATCTGGAGGGCTCATATTTCGGACATGAGGTGAATATTTGAATGGTTAAAGGCGTCGGCAGCAAATACATAAAAGGAAAAGTGACGGATGCTTACGCTTCAAATTGGACACGAGGCAGGTTCCAACTTGATTCACGGTAGAAGAGAAGAAATAGCGCGTATTGTACATGCTTGCTGATACGTGGAGAGAAGAATGCGCGAACAGTAATATATTATTAAAGGTCAAAAAGTACTGACGTGTTTTATATGTACTGATTAATTTTCTAGAAAAATAAAATATACCCGTAAAGTTTATTGGTAAAAACCGTATTTTATTGATTGGTATAATTTATTATTTTTCAATCTGATCGACTTTTTGAAGGGATTTATAAGTATGTATTGAAATGGAAAACTCTAGTCACCGAGGAGTTGAACAAACACTTGACGATTATAAGAAAAAAATTTATCGTTTAAATAAAAATGTATTCCACGTGAATTAATTTTTTGTTTGATTAAACTCTATGTAAAGATATGCTAATGACCAACTGTCAATCATCCAAATGAATCTTCGATATGAATACATTCATAGTTTTAATTGCAAATCACACCTTCCATATATTAATACGGTACGGAACATGTTCGGGAAAGAGTTTCTCGTCGTACCGCACATGTTTAGGAAAGAAGAATCTCAAGAATCTACTTTCGCGTACTTCTTGTATTGTAATGTACTATTTTAAAATTTTGCACAATTAACACAAGAAAAAATTCAGGCAGGCCCGAGAAAAATAACAAAGAAACAGAATAATTGTATAAATCATTTGAGTATTTGTAACCACTGTCTAACATCTGTAGAATTATAATCAGAAGTGAGTAAAAGTTTCGGTAAATCGATTAATGCCAGCGAGTCAAACAATGGCTTTCAGAAAAAGGGCATTGTGAAAGAATAGCAGTCAAAAAAACACTATTGCAGAAAGTAAATGTAGTCAAGAGATTTAAATGGGCCAATGAACATAAGAATTTTTGGTGCCAAAAGAAAAGTTTATATTAGGGGATGTATGAGTGAGAGTTATTTTCGGAAGTGCATTGTACCCTTCATCAGACGTTGCAGCGTTGCAGGATTTATGATGGTTTGAGGATGTTGTGGAGGGTTCAAAGTAGGGAATTGCATCCGAATTAAAGGAACGTTGAATAAAGAATGATAAATAAGAGTGTACTTCAAAGAACTTCTGCTTGGTCTCAATTTTCCTTTCCGACAGGACAATAATCCAAAACATATATAGTTCAAACATTTGTAAAAATAATTTGAAGAGCTTCCATTCCAGAATCATCAAATACTACAAGTTATGAATTGACCTCCCCAATCACCAGATCTAAATCTTATTAAATTGTTATAGGAAGAACCCGATCAAACAGTACAAAAAATTTATTTTACTTCTAAAGAACATATATAGAAGATCTTGGAAGAAGAATGGAAAAAGACTACAGATTTCTTCGTGCATAATTTGATTCTAAGAATGCCAAGATTCTGCAAAGAAGTTATTAAAAAAAATGTTGGCATTTTGATGGAAAAAACATTTAATTAAGTATTATAATACTATTTCAATATATTGTTACCTTCACATATAATAAGTAAAGCACGCAAAACACAGACTTTCAACTTTTTAAGCTGTAGCGTAAACTTTGTTAAATATAATACAAAACGTAAACATAAATGTAATGTCTCCAACTTGACGCCCAGACGTCAACTAACTGAACAAAAACAAAACATTCACTGTGACGTAAAACTAGACATTCAAAATCATATTTGTAACAATATACATTATTTCTGATCTCAAGACTTCGATGTATTAATTTGTTTGATTATTTGTTCATGAAAAAATTATTTTTTCGAAGTGAGATTCTTATACTTTTATGTATGTAGAAGAAGCTGTTTACTTGTTTTGACTTCTTTTTACAGAATAAGACATAAAAATATTTATTATTTATTTTAATAGTGGATTAATAAAAACTGACCATTATAATGTATGTAGAGCTTTTTTATACATACATTATAGATTTTTTTTATTGTTACTTGTTATGAAAATAATCATTTTCATAATCACCCATCTCTAATTTAGATTTATTTTAGAAATTCTTTTCACAAAAATATGTCGACTTAAAAGTGAGTAAAAAATTATCGATATTTATTTAAAATTATGTTTTGATAAAACATGAAAAAAATGATTAATCGATTTGAGAGAAAATGTATTCTATAATATCGCAGAAAGTTACAAAATGAACACGCGGAGACTTTTGTAGGCTAAATACTTTCCTAATAACAACATTTTTTATTTTATGTAATTTTTTCTGTAGGTGAAAAAATATATATAAATAAAGTATAAGTGAAACTTTTGAAAATTGAAAATTGCATACGAATTAAAATTAGTTTATTTTGAATCCAAATTGTGAGAGCTTAAACAAAAAACTCTTACAATTAGTGTCTTTTTGAATATGTTCTGTCTTTAAGGTTCTCTAAATTTTTCGTGCCGAAAAGTCATGTAAACCTAATAACTTTTTAGTAATCTTATAAAAAAATCATAATCATTTCTAAATTTAGATTCTTTGTTTTTTTCTGATAATAGAAATCGTTTTACGTAAACTTTCTATAAGTGTATGATATACCGTACTTGATGAGACGTCAATATTTTAATGTCACTAAGAAATTAAAAAATTATATATAACCTATTATGTCAATTTTAATATAAATCTTTCAGTAATAATACTTTTTTCTTAATTTTATAAAATTACATAATGATAAGTTATTTTTTATCAGGTCGTAGGTTGCACACAAGAATTAAGGAATATACTTCAGATTGTAAACATAATAGAATTCGTTCATCACTTGTTTTACACATAAAGGAGACAGATCATAATTTCAATTTTGATTTAAATAATATTAAAAGTTTAGATCATGAAAATTTTTATTTTAAACGTCTTATATCTGAAATGCTTTTTATTACAAAGTCTAATAATGTCAATAAAATTCAAGATACACAAAACTTAAAAGCTATATTTAAAAATTATATTAGGCTATTATAGAGTTGTTGTATGAAAATGCTGTTTGTTTTGATTGAGTACTATTTTCTCTCTTTTTCTGAAGGTTTGTTATTGCGTGTGTAGCTTCATATATTCATATTTCTATGTATTTAATCATTGTAACTAACAATAAGTTAGTAAAAGCTAGGAAAATAGCTAGCTAAATCAATGTAATTAATAGAGCCATGGAAAACCATGGAAAAACACGATAAGGTAACTAAGCTCAACTCGC